TACTCCCTCTGGCTATCCAAAATTGCTACTTTTTTCCTTCAACACCAAATTTTGAAAGTAGTGGACATCCTTCAACACCAAATTTTAAAAATAGTATACATCCCTCAACATGTACTGGATTGTGAACTTCTGCCCAGCTGGATGGCTAAACCCTTGTTGTGCATTCTGTAGTCCACTTTTATCTTGGTCAGCACTTACCTAAACTCCTACAAAGCTACTAGCTGGTTTTCTGCATGGCACGACCCAACAATCAATCAGGAGGAATTTTGTATGAACATACAAGTCATTAGTGAAAATTTACTATGCCAAATACTCTGGGTACAATAGCACTGTATAACAGTCACAGAGAAAGGAAACATTGCAAGATCAGGTGTCTCTCTATGATTATGATTGTTTGCTGAAGAATGGAAAAGCTTGGAAAAATTATAATTCCAAAAGAAACCTTCAACACAACTCTGTTAGATGAAGAGAAACTGGGTGCAAAAGGAACCTCTCACTTCCTTTGTTCAAAAAGGCTCTATAAAATTACCTTTAGAAGGTTAATAAGAAGCTTCAAAATATTCTATTCTTGGATTTGAATGCAGTTGATGACTTTCAAGATCAGATCATAAAATAAGAAAACACATCTGTCAGCTGATTGAAGCATATTGGTAGAATAAATACCAATTTTTCATTTGGGCATTCATCATTCAAACATAAGATAATGTAATAACTGCACATATCAGAATGCTTGGATAATTAACTGTATAGACACCAAAACAGGACAGTGGATTTGCTCAGAAAGTTCTTACAAGCCATAATAGATTGGAACTATTAAAGCTTGGCCTAAATCCAAGGTAAGGTTCTAAAAACTACTTACACAAATACAGGGTTAGTTTTTAATGGAAACTGCTTCTTCTTCCTTTTACCAGTAAGATATGGGGTAGGCTTACCACTCTTTTTTCCCAGAAACAAGAGCACAGAAAAGGAGGAGTCACCTGTAAATTGTTACTGGAAACCAAATGGCTTTGGCAAATTAATATGTTTCCAAGTAAATCAGGTAACAGACAATGTTATAAAATAACTGCTTATACAAAAGGCATCCAGCACACGTTTTTGTACGGGGAAAAACAGATTTTCATGATAGCCATGATTTAGTGATATTGCTTCTGAAGAGATACAATGATAAAATGCTATTTTCCTCATCAACTGGAAAGCACTGCTCTTTTTAGAAGGTAATTTGAGTTTGAATGCTTAAAACTCATAAAGCAAGGACGCCATTATAAAAAAAAAACAAACATACAACTTGAGTGGGGTGAAGAGTGAGGGGCCTTTTCCCACATATCAGACAAATTATCCTCACAAATACATTATTTTTACTTGAATTTCTTTTCATAAATGTCAACTATGTTAAGAATGTAAGTTTCTATTTTAAGATATGTTCCCAGTTAATAAATTATCAAGGAACAGAAGGGTACATATATACAAATCACTAGAAAAAAATTACCTAAGTCCAAAATTTTTTGGGCCAATTTCTTCTAAAAGTCACTACATTTCATCAGTTTTGTGGCACATGGCCATTTCTGTTTAAAACTACAATAAGTAACTGCTTTGTTTGATTTTTTTTACCTTAAAGCTAGATCTGAAAAAAGCAGACAGGAACGTGGGGCATATATATTTGATTTCACCAAAATATCTGAAAGCTAGAACAATGCAAGCAATGTATAGAACACAGAAAGAAAAGAAGCACTTTTATGGCAGGAGGCTGTATCTTTGAACTGACTTCTTTTGACCAGGTGAGAGAACTGCACAAACTTCACCAAAGTAAATCATTGGGTTCTAAATCCATATAAAGTAAAATACAAAATCCTGCTTTAACAACGACCAAGGAAAGACCCTTAGACGTTTGAGATCTTTGTTTTGAAATCAAAACAAAAATACAGCCAGTTATAAAATTACCACTTTGGAAGCCTTGTCTAACAGGAGAGCAATTAGATCACATAAAGAATCCAGTTATATTGCTGTCAAATGCCCAAAATCAAAATAGAAGGCCTTTAGATTTTTCACTGAAAAATATGAACAGTGGGACTGAGGTAAGGTTCAACTTAGAAAAGTGGGTCTAAGTAACACTGCAATACAGGGGAAAACAACTTTCCCAAGATGGGGAAAAATTTCTAAAGCTTAAAAACGTGATGCAGTATTTATTTCTCTTCATGTACTTATATACTCAAGCATCATAACACTCAATCAATTTGCAGTGATCATTCCATGCTGACATCACACTGTCATATGCTGTTTCTGTGGGCTTTGAAAGGGAGAGCGAGATTCTCACCATTCCTGAAATTGTCTATACAAAATATGGAGCCTAAAGGACCAGATCCTGACTGGAAATTATACACTGCATGCATGAACATAAAAGCTGTAAGACACATGGTGCAACCCACATATAATTATATGTTTTTGTTCTCCCTGTAAAAAATCATAGCTAAATAGAGTGACAAATGTCCAAGTGAAACTGTACCAAACAAATACATCCAGCTTGCTCCTGTTCCCCCTTCCAGCCCCCTAAAAATCAATTTACAGCTGTACCAAACCATTTGCCAGACTTCATGATTCTGGTAAACAAGTTTTTCCAGGGACAAATTACACTCACAAACTTACAGCATTCTTCATTCCAGTATGCATTGAAAACCGCCAATATTTACATATGCAACAGCTGATTCAATTCCACTTTACAACACTGAAAGCATTCCGTGAAGAAAAAAATTGAAGATATTCAGAACCTAAAATAGCAAGCTTAAGTATTTCATTCTTTCCTTGGAGATTTTTCTATTGACTGCAATTAATCTTTTATGGGCTTGGGAACTTTGGAACTTTTCTTTATATAAAAGAAGATGATTGAGTTAATGGGCCTTGCCAGCAGGTTGTTCTAAGTTTGGAATGGGCTCTTCCAAGACCTGGAATTTTGGAAAGTGTCCTTAATTATTTCCTTGTGAATATGCATGTATATGTACACACATACAGATATATATATACACACACTAATCCAATCATATTAACAATGTCTCTTTAAGAACCAATTTTACCCTTTCTTTGGATGACATGCTCTTCTCCCTTCTTTTTATTTATAACTGTGCTTAATCACAAGGAAATTTGCAGCATATTTAGCATGCAGAGCAGAATATTTCTGGGAAGAGTAAAGACAGAAGTAATAAAAATTATGAGAACTGCTAAGGGTAGAAAGTTGGTGATTTGGGGAATATAATTTTCTTCTTTCATGGCAAGGGGGCAGGCATTCTGAAACCCTGGTGAGGACAGTATGTACTCAGAGCCTGGCAAGACCCCACTCTGAACAAACACCTGCTGGATGTGTCTGCAACACCTACTGCAGCCACACTGCTGCTGTGTTGCAAGAGGAGTCAATCAATAATGCAGGCACACAGATTTTGATCCAACACTACAGGCATTTCTTTTGTCAAGTTAGATAACAAAATCAGCCATGAAGCCACACTTCCAATACACTATTACCTAAATAAAAAAAATCTGAAAATACCTGGCTTTTAAGGGTATTTTGAAAGTATTTCTAGAGAACTCAGGTATTTTTCAAGATTCTGTCACTCTATTTATTGTGTTAGTAGATTCTAGCCATTTAAGCCAACACCAGAAATCCAACCTGAAAGGCAACATATTTATCTGAAAATCAAAGCTTATCTTTTCTTGGGAATGGCGGGGGGAGGAGGGACAGTGGAGAGGAAGGGCGCTGGGTTGCACTTTTTTTGTGGGGGGGAGAGGTTGTTTTTTAATCTCTGAAGTCCAAGTGTGTGCTACAATTCAGGATTTTGGTTGGTCCTTTCTCTTTAAAAGTATCAGTTTCTATGTGAGCTCAGTGCCAGAATACAATGCACCCACAGCACTTCTAGGACATCTGATTTCCACCACAGCAATCTTCTAGGACATCTGATTGCACAATAGCAATCGACACCAAGGCCAGGATGTAGCTTCTTCAGCTCTAGCACAAAAGTGATACAGGCTGCAACAAATAAAGTTCTAATCACCTGCTTTCCTCATCCTTCACACCTGGATCACAGATCCTTCTTCAGGTGCATTAGCTGCCTGATTCTTTCAGAAGGTATCAAGTAATATGGAATGTTACTAAAGCTGCTTCCATCCTCTGTAGTGCTGCAGAATTTGAACACACATTAAAATTAAGCTACCATCAATTCATAAATATAAGGCTGACTTTGATCCTGCTATCCCAAAGAAAAAACTGCCTATAGACAAATGGTTTACATGATCAATGGAGAATCAATGGGTAATGTGGGAAATAAATAAGAGGATTATTGCTCTGGTTTTAAGATAAAAAATTGCTGCAAGCTTTACAAATTTCTCCTTTTTGAAAAAAGGGTAAAAGCTTGGAATGCACCCTTCCCAACTGCTTCAGTTTTTCACCTGTTCCTTGAATTTTTTGTTTCATGGGTATGCAGAAGGAATTTGTGAACTTGCCCAAGGTGCTTTTTTAAGTTCTACGGATTGATGAAAAAGGAAATTGAAAACTGATCCACTCTTAATGTTGAAAAACAGAGAAGAATCCCTTCTTATTGCAATGAAAATGTGTTAACATTTCAAAATTATAGTCCTAAATTTCTAAACTGCCAAAAAGCTCTCACTTAAAAAATATTAGAAAGTTTACAAATTCTCTCAAAATTACCAATGCTGCATGTAATCATCTACTTAGCAATGTTTAAGTACTCTAATCTCTTTACATTTTTCTCTCTCTCACACACACAAAAATCACTGAGCGTTATTATCCATAGATTTATTTGCTTTCCCGGTAGACTACCTGTAAATCCTATTTAATATGAGTTAAAATCTGTAGTCCTGACAGCTATGGTTTTCTCATATAGTGTTTGAAAGGCATGGTGATCTCTGCAAAGGGAAACGCAGCAGTAACCAACACAGAGCAGCCTTAGAGCAAAGCTGACCGCCCTGCCCAGCTCATGGCAATAACGCGGAGCTCGCACCTCTGTGGTTGGTGAGGTCTCTGGATCCAGAAGGCAGAGGTGTGTAGTGCATCTCTGGAGAGGCAGGGGCAGCAGCGCTGGAGGCCTGTGTGACAAAACAAACAGTGTCAGTGCTCTGGGTGGAGGTCAGCGAGCAGGCAGAGCGGATGCACCTGCAGGATCAGTGCTGCGGCTGCAGGTGCACGGAGCCACCGGCCATGAAGGATTAATTTGTTTTTGTTAAGGCTCCTTGCCACTCCTCAAGGTTGCTGTGCTCACAAGAGTTTACACAATGGCATTATGCATCATTACTAAACGAATATTTTCATACAGCTGACAGCTTAAAAAAATTACTATCTTTGTCAGGAAATTTTTAGGCAATGTCAAAATTTTCCTCTTGCTGAAACACATTAATATTTACCTAAAGGAAGTTATGAGTGAGTCCACATAAATGAAAGGAGATAGAAAATAGGAAGTTAAGATACTGTACTTTTCAAATCTAAAGAAAAAGATCCCAAATTATTTTCTCATTCCACTTCCCTGTGAAAGTTATTAAAAGTTATAGTGCCTATAATGCAAAAAAGTGAACAAGTATATAGAATTGTTAACAATAAACACTCAAAACTTACAGCAGAAGTCTAATAAAAGAAATAGGTACCCAAGAGGATTTGCTCAGAACCCTTAAAAGTAAAGTGTTAAGGGAGAGGTAGCCCAAATCTTTCTCCTTAATAAGTCTCAAGACCCTACGATTCTAATTTTAAAAGATTAGACTGAAGAACTATGGTTTACAATAAACTAACCTTCATTCCATTGCATGTTTCAGCTGAAGGAAATATATATATATATGTTTATATATATATATAAAATAAAGTTAAAACAACCCACATTTACCATCTTGCTTTTTAGTTACAGAATAGCAGTTAGAAGAAGACATGAAAATAAAGAATTGTGTTGGTGAATATGAATCACTGTCAGTTTTTAAAGTTCACTTTAACTTCGGTTGGTGACACAGTAGTGACATGTTCAGTTTCAGATACAGAGTTTGCTCTGGAGTATTTACAACCTACCCATTTCAACAGACATAAAAAGATGATATGTTTACATAGAAGACACAAAGGACAGCATTCACTGAAAGTTATATGATAATTTCTAACAGAAAAAATAAGGCAAATAAAGAGAAAAATACAAAAGCTAAACTATTTCTTGAATCTCATGACAATTCACTAAAGGGAGTCTTGAGAAAATAATTGCTATCTTCTGTGCAGTTTGTTCCCTAATGATATATTGACTTCTAAGCTGCAAAAGTCAATCAAAGGAATTCACCTCAGTCTTACTGACTTTATAATTGAACATATCCTCAAAAAATATGAACCCACAGGTCTCCAATGTCTAGTTAATATAAAAGTATAAAATAGAGCTACAGTGTTTTGGGGAAGAAAAAGTGTAAATACTAATACAAATTTTAGTTACCAGACCAAACCCAAGAACAATAATCACAAATCCATAACAATGAAAGTTTATAATGATAATAGTTCGTTAAAGGCTGTAACTTAGAAATCTTCCTTGTTGTAGCTGTTGGACTCCTAAATGATAGCACATAAAATGTTAAGAGGTGACTGACTAGATTAGCATACTAAGATTTTGCTTTTGGAGACCAGCCATGAATTTCTGTGTCAGACCATAGTTACAATCCCATTTTTGTCCCTAGGAAAAATCAGGTCACAACATGAAGATGCATCATGCAGCAAAACAAACAGTTTAATAGAACTTAACAAGTTTGCCTGAAGAGCAAGGATGCTACTTATAAGATATGAATAAAAATAGAGAATATCCTGCCTCTGCTGACTCACCAGTGATAATAAACACTTTTCAGGGAACCTCCTGTTCAGAGACATATTGCTACAGACATAAGTCTCAGCTTCAGCCAGAATGAATGATACCTTGATTTTCGTGAACTGCAAACCTGCAGCTCAGTCCACTCTGGACTATGAATTATTGGAAATCTCTCTGGTGACCAGTATGAGCCAAGGGCACATATTATGTAAGAGGGACAGATAGAACCCCTTAGACCCAGCTATGTGATATTTGAAACTAATTCCAAGAGCAGGAATCTGTTCACAACTACACGTTTCCTTTGGGTTGAATACTTCTGGGTAAGAAAAGGAGAAAAATGTCACTATTTAACATCATGCTTCGTCCCTGTAAATCACTCAAAAAACTGGAAGAATAAGTGATCTCATACTGTACACTCTAGATAGTATCTGCCTATTCAAGTGTACTTATTTGGGACTCTGGTAATAGTGAAGGTTTCTCTTTGGTACTTTTAATCTCAATTTAGACTGTTGACAGCTTGATGATAGCTTTTCCTAAAATTACTCGAAGAGACTTTGCCATTTCAGCAATATACCACTGAGTGAGCAAAATTCAAGAGCTTCTAAAAAGGATATTGGAGTGAAGGGGCAATTTAGCTTTATTTCCAATTTTAGGAAACACAAGAAGAGAAGAGTTTGTTTACTGGTGTTTTTCTGTTACTTTATGTACAGTATATAATTCCCTGTCAAATATAGAACAATTTTCATTACCTTTGAGCTAAGCATTCAGTTAGAGCAACTTTAATTCTATGGAATATCATCCAGGGTTAGGATTGTTTTGCACAAACACTGGCTCAAGTTCCAAATCACGTTTCTGAGTAAGCCTGTGCACCAGCAGAAAGACAACTATTTGTTTTCTCTACCACATACTGACATTTGGCCCTAAGCTATTTTCCAAAGAGATTTGTATAGATTGCATTACTCTTAATGTTCACAGGAATATTGTGACAGTGACAGCATTGACATGTGACAGTTATGTCTTCAAGTATTGGTGATACATGCATCAGAAGTTCTTGCAGTGGAAAGTAACTATACATACAAATAGCTTTGAGCAAAGCTGTTTAAACTGGTTGGTAGCCTCAGTTTTATAGGAACAGGTCACAAAACTCAGTAAAGAAATTCTAATGGTATTATTACAGAAGAAGCTTGTAGTTTTGCAAACCTTGAAGTTATCCAACTTTTCCAGTCTTTGCAAAACTCCAGCATAAATTAGTCACTTTAATGAACGGAAAAAAAACAACCCGTTTAGAAGAAAATTGTCAGCCACACACCAACTAGCTCTCAAGAGTGGAGGAATCTAATTAGACTAAACAATAACAAAAACAAAAGCTAATTTGTTTAATCCCTGAATTCCACTTTTCAAGGAATAAAAAATGCAACACTTGGATGGTACTAGTAAGGGAACATCGTGTGTTGTATCAGGACATACTGTACATCTGCTGCATCAAAACAAATTTGTAGAGACCAGTGATTAAAAAGAAAAAAAGCTGCACAATTTTTGGCAACCACACAAGTTCCTTCAAATATTTTAGCCATTGAAGGAAGTAAAGGGGGAACTCAGACAAGCCAATCCTCTTTGAATCATGTTTTGAGAAGGTAAAATTTAAATGACTCTGCTATCCAAATTATATCTCTTGACTGGACATTTCATTTTTGTATTTCTAAACACATAAGTAAACAAAAACCCCACTTCTGACACTTTTAAATCTAATCAATAATACAAGTGTTTCAGCTATAATCAAGAGTATGACTTTGACCTTAGCAAATATTCCTTCCGGATATTTTAGCAGCTTATTTTCGGATGTTATGGCACTAATACAGTAGCCACATTATTGTAGTATTAGGATAACAAGAACAGTGGTCTTATATTTTGGTTGGCCTTCTAACTTCAATAACCTTTTAGCAAGAAAGGAAAGAGAATTTTTCACGTTTAACAGAAAGAGTGGAGCTTAAGATTCAAAGCATTTCAAATCCAAAGCATTCCCCTATTCTCTTGTAAGAGAGATTATCACTCCTCACTTGAATTTACTTTACATTTTGGTTTTCACTTAATGTTAAATTGCAAGGTTGAAAGCAGGGATCAAAAATGCAAATGAACATCAGATAATTCTTATGCATTTAGACTTAATTGAGTGTAATCGATATGTCTGGTGTGCAGCCAAATTCAACTATTGTGAAAAGCACCTAATGTATGGACATTATTTTTGGACTACTGAATGCCAGAAAATAATGAGCTGGCATTCAGCTTTGGTGAATCAGCCCTTGAATTTTCATCTAAGAGCAGTTTTGAATTATTAGTGAAGATAAGGTGTAAATGTGCAAGGGTATTTTATCCATGTTTCTCCCATGAATCATAAATGAGGAAAAAAATTACAGTCTAAATTGCACTTAAAAGGAATAAAGTCTTTTCATGTCATACATGATTTATCAAAATGATCTCATTTTAAGAGTACTGTGGTGTATCTTGATTAATAACATTAGGAAGCATGATGAATGGCCTCTTTAATGGTAACACAGAATTTATTGGCAAAATCCCTACTTCTACCAAAAAGGGTGGGAAGTAAAACTCACAGAAGTTAGTAACTTGCATAAACAGCTTAAGTAAACTCTCTGCTATGTATTTTTCACTCACGTATCCTTGAAAATCCTTAATTTGAGTTTATTCTCATGCTCGTTCGGAAATGAGCAAGAGGTGTTACCTAATGGGGCAGCTCTAACCACTACAAAAGTCACTTCGCAGTTCTCTGCAAAACAAGCTGAACTCTGCCTGTACTGTAAGAGAATGCAGTGTATTAAGGTCTTTCAAGAGCATTGGTCCCATCCCCTTATGACCTTTTTCAATATCCTCTTCATTTTGCCTTAATATCCTAAATGCTTCCCTTCTTCCATTACTCCACCTTACCCTCCCCCCTCCTTCTCCCTTTTTAAGCCTGCTCCAGCCTGCCCTAACTAATTTCCTTTTGGGCTGACAGATCAGAGGCCTTCCTACCACTGTTCCTTTTAGACCTGTGAAGCCCTCCTCGTAATCCTGCTGCTTGTCCACAATTAATCTTTCCAGTTGCCACATTATTAACACTACCACCCACAGTCAGAGGATGCCTGAGCACGGCTGGACACTCGCTCCCCACTGCAGCATCAAAGTTGTCAATCACACACCAGTCAGAAAGTTGCCTGCTGTCAACATCAGAGGATTTCATACTCTCCTACCCGCTGATCAAACATTTTTCTTCAGAAG